TTAAATTTAATCCCACCCCCTGTTTTTATCCCTTTAAAAAATTTTTTTTTTAAAGTTCCTTTTTTTTTTTTTTTTTTTTTTTTTTTTTTTTTTGTGTGTGTTTCTTGTCTGATTGGTATTGTTTCTCTGTAAAAGCACTTTGAATTGTCTTTGACTGAAAGGTGCTATATAAATAAAATTGCCTTGCCTTGCCTTGCCTTAAAGCTGCATCATGTAACTTTTAAAAAAAATGTTTTGTACATATTTGTTTAAACTGTCACCATGTTGTCCCAGTAAGATATGAGACAATCTGTGAAATGATTGATCTCTTCCACCTCCCAGTGCTACGATTGCCATCTGAAGAAATGCACCGCTCTTGGTCGAAAATAAGGAACCAGAGCCAGTAGGAGGGTCTTAGCGCTGTCAAACATCCTCATATATGCACTAGTAAATGTACTAATGGCAGAGAAACAACTTGCAGTTCCAGAGAAACCTCAAGTGTATCTACCTTCAACAGTGGCCATGCTAACTAGCCTTAGCGTTCATGGTAGAATCAGTTGTTATGAAGAAGTGTTCGCATAGCAGAGAGCAAGTGTGCATGAGGGTGATTGACAGCGCAAAGACCCTCCTCCTGGCTTTGGGGAAAGGCAGAGAAGCTAAATTTTTTCACTGATTATCTGTCTTATAGTAAACTTTACCAACATAATGAGAATTTTATCAAGTATGTAAAAAATATTTCTTGAAAAAGTTACGTACTGTAGCTTTAAATGAATTTTAACCTGTCTGTCACTAGAGGACCCAAATTTGGGTCCTCTCGTGACAGGGGTGTCAAACTCCAGTCCTCAAGGGCCTCTGTCCTGCAACTTTTAGATGTGCCTCTGCTGCACCACACCTGAAAAGAATAATTAGGTCATTAGCAAGGCTCAGGAGAACCGATCTACACAGGGAGGAGGTAATTAAGCCATTTCATTCCACTGTTTTTTACCTGTGGCACAACCAAACGCTGCAAGACAGCGGCCCTTGAGGACTGGAGTTTGACACCCCTGTCATTGTGAATGACAACCTGAGACCAACAGGTTAATTTAGTGTGTCATATTCAAGCTATTTAAAGTATCAATGTGTTAGTTGAATATGTATATTTGTATTAAAGTCTCATTAAGACTCCAGAGCAGGTATGTATACAAACACTAATGCTATTTGTGACCTCAAACCACTTTTATTAGCAAGAAATACAATATCAGATGACAGTCCAAACTGTAGGAAGTTACTGTAAAGTTTTACTCAAAAAAGAAGCTGACATCAAAACTAAAGTAGCCCTCCATGTTCCTATAGTTTATCTCAAAGTCCTGTAAGCAGCAGGAGGTGTTCACTTAGTCTCTGAACAGATGATGAAAATAAAACCAGACCTGTCCAGAAGAAAGTCTGCTCCATTGTGAACAAAAGAGTAGGGAACACACAAAACATCTAAAAATAGATGGAAAAAATTTGAAAAATTTGGGAATTAGCGATAGACTAATTACAAATGTGTGCGAAACTTTAATGTTTTGCTAATGTATAAAAACCCCACAATTTCACAATTGCTGTGTTTCCATTAAATAAGAAACGTAATTTAAAATCAGATGTGAATAAGTTTTTTTTGTTTTGTTTTTTTTTTGTTGTTTTTTTTACGTGATATGATTAAAAAACATACTGTGTTGTAATCTTTCTTCTACTTCCTGTTATCGTCTTTGTGGTTTGTGTCAGTGGCGACATCTAGTTGTTGATCATTGGACGTAAAGTGTTTCCATTGCAGTTTTGCAAAATAAACCAATTTTAATATGGCCAAAATAAAATTGTCTCATCCAAAATAAAGAAAATCATTTAATTGAAAATTTAGCTTTTTCAAAATTGGAGTTTTTCCCATTAACCAAATTCAACCTGAGCAACTATGTGATTAATGGAAGCACGGCTTGTGGCACTGCCAGTTTTGCAAACACTGACTTTGTGTTTCCTGCAGACATCCATCAACTGTTGGAGATTAAAAAGGAGGAAAAGTGGAGTCCGAGACCAGACCAGGAGGACCAGAAACCTCCACAGATTAAAGAGGAGCAGGAGGAGAATGAGATCACCAAGTTTATATTCAATCCTGTGAAAAGTGAAGATGATGAAAAGAAACCTCAGATTCCAGAGCTTTGTCACAGCCAAACCAAGGAAAATGGCAAACTTGTTGGACCAAAACCAGATAAAAATTTAGAATCTGGTACGGAAGATACTTCTGATTCTTCGTCAGAGACCTCTGAGACGGACATCAGTGATGGAAACTGGGAGAAGAGCAGTGAAGCTCAGTCAGGTTTGGGATCTGGAAACAACAACACAGATCCAGTTTGTGAGAAAGGCAAAAAGTTATACCGCTGCTCTCAGTGTAGGAAAATATTCGTCCACAGAGGCAATTTGTTAGAACACAGAAGAATCCACACCGGAGACAATCTTTACCACTGCTCAGTTTGCAACAAATCTTTTCCTTCAAAAACTAATTTAATAGATCACACAAAAGTTCACTCTCAGGACAGACCTTTCAAATGTTCTCTCTGTAATGCAGCTTTTAAAAGGAAGAACAATTTAAGACAACATTTGATAATCCACACTGGAGAGAAACCCCACAGCTGCTCCATCTGTAGCAAAGCATTTGCTTTTGAGGGAAACTTAAAACAACACATGATAATTCACACAAAGAAAAGACCTCACATATGTTCCGTCTGTAGTGCAGACTTTAAAAGTAAAAATGCTTTACTAGGACACACAAAAATCCACAAAGAGGAGAAGCCGTTCAGCTGTTCGGTCTGCAGTCGAAGCTTCCGCCGCACATCATATCTAACTGCTCACATGAAAAGTCATTCTGAAGAAAAACCTCACACCTGCTCTGTCTGTGAGGCAGCTTTCAAGAGGAGACGTGGTTTAATGGAACATAAACGAATCCACGGTGGGGAGAAACCTTACATCTGCTCCATTTGTAAGAGGGCTTTCCTGAAGAAACACACTTTAGTAGAACACACAAGAATACATTCTGGAGAGAAACCTTTCAGCTGCTCAGTCTGTAAGAAGAAGTTCAAGTGGAGAAACACATTAAAGAAACACTCAAGACACCATAAGGATGAATAACTGTACCAGTTGTACAGACTGGTCAAATTTTCAGCCACTTTCACAATTACTTTAAAAGGGCAGTGATATGCATTTTCAGACACATTCTGACATTTTCTCTTTTCCATTTCTGCTCTATGTATGAAAACTTTTAAATGCTGTATTTGAATCCTGGTGAGATACTTATTTTGCATGTTATTCCTATCTGTGTGGGTTTTCTCTGAGTACTTGGGTTTCCTCTAACAAACAGTCCAAAAACATTCATGTTAAGTTAATTGATTTCTCTAAGTTGCCCTTAGTGAGTTTTTGTGTTTGCTGTGCTGTAATCATCTGCTAACCTGTCCAGGGTGAACTTCTCCTTTCTTCCAATTTCCACTGGACTAACTGGAGGCCCTCCTACGTCAGGGGTAACAGAACATGGATGGGTGAATCCTGAGCAAAGTATTTTTCACCAGGATGAGAAAAGAAACATTTTGTCACAATGAAATAGAAATAATATGTTATCTGGTAAAAGCTTAAAATATGCACTTTTAATTTAAAAAACAACAAAACTGCCTGCTGGTTAGGATCAAAATGCTGATTCTTCTCATTTACATTTATTGGTTTATTAGTTTCATCAACACACATTCAGTAAATTAGAATATTAAGTGTATTTGAGTAACTTAATTTAAAGAATGAATCACATTACATAGATGAATTTAAGACAGAACTTTTTTTCAAGCTTTTATTTCTTACAGCTTACATCTTACAGCTAATGCAAAATTTAAAATGAGATTATTTCACCAGACCAATAAAAACATTTTAGAACAGAAATGTGGGCTGAATAAAAAAGTGTTTTATTCTTGCTTAGAGGTTATTTTCAAAAAATATAAAATAGCTAACAAATAGCATAATCTGAATGCATATTTTAATTTACTGAATACAAATGTAACTACTGCTACCGTTTAGCTTTAAAGAGCGGTTAAGATCGAGCTTTTTATTTTGAAGGTCAATCTGACCCGACGAATAGCGGAAGTAGTTGTCGCCTAGCAGCAAAAGCTAAGCGAACACAAACTTTTGTTTCTTCCCTTTTGAAGCTAACATGTCTCCGTTCAGTCGGCTTTATGAGTGTATTTTTACTGAATTACCTCCCGTTAGTTTTAGCTTAGCTCGTTAGCTAGAAGCAGACAGGAAAACAGCGAGTCAGAGTCGGGTTAATGTAGAACAGACTGTTTCTGATGTATTGGGAGAGAAACGTTTTATTTTTATTTTATGAAAACATCAGAAGGTCTCAGTGTATGAGAGAAAACAACTACCAGAGATGGAGGAACCAGCACATGGTGAGTAGATAGACTCAGTTTTATTGTGATTATCTCCTGCTATTTCCGTTCTGTAACATTTTACTAGCAACCAGACAGGAGAGGGATAGTAGTTTGTGAAGCACATTTCAGAAGTAAGACAATTAAAATTGCTTTAAATGATGAAAAAATAAGATCACATTACAGTGGCGCAATAAAGGGAACTAAAGAGAAGTTGGAATACAGACTAAAACTAAACATCAGTATTATAAAAAACAAAATAAAATAACAAAACTGTAATCAAACCTTAGGACCTCAGTGTTTTAACAGTTGTTCAATTCCCTGTAAGTTTTCTCCAGATCAGAGAAGCAAATCTTCTGTCGATAATTACCTTCTGTTTTTGAACACAATGTCTTATGGCAGTAAGGAAGTAACATTATGAGCAAGAGCATCAATTTGTGAAGGGATCAATTTGTTAAATTGCTGCCCTCTGCTGTGTTTCTCTGAGGAAATTAAACATGGAATATACTCAAGGTTGTTGCCTTTTAAGGATCTATGTGAAATACACCAAATTTCTGTCAAATTTGGTGTATTCAGTTCAGATAAGCTCAATTGTCAGAAAATACTAAGTTTTGGGGAGGTACTGTTATTTTTTCACACAATGCTGCATCAGCACAAGGTATTAGTATGACTACATTAGTAGTTAGGGCTGTAGATACTTTTAATGAAGGTAATTGAGTCTAAGATTTTATTAATATTTAGGCTATCGCTTTTAAGGTCAGCGGCAATGTTAAAATCTCACAGAATATTGACCTTATCAGTATTTAACACTACGTACATTTTTTTTAAAAAACAAACTGAGATGTGATCTAAAAATTGAGAGTAACGGCCTTGTGGATGATGCAAACAAACAAGTGGTTTTAATTCATTTTCAGTAATTCGAATTCAACCACAAACAACATTGATTCAATGACTTCTTTTCAACATCAGTTAATTGTCTAGAATTAGGTGATTGTTTGATGGTTGATCCACCATCAGCAGTCAACCTTAACTAAAAATCAACCTTTTTGACCATAATTCAACATTGAATTAACATCTTTTGCTTTCTGGGTCTATTCTTGTTGGCTATTCGCTGGCAAAGGAGCCTTGGCTACCTGCTTGTTTTGATGCTAAGCTAACTAAGCTAGCGATCCTGTACCAAAACAAGAAAAACTATGTGAAACACAAAGATTTTCCATAAAGTAATGTATGACAGTATAAAATTTGTTTTATAAGGTGCTTATCCATTAGAATAATTTGGTATGGAGAAATTAGATCAAATCAAGAGTCCGAAACATCAACACATCCGGATATTCCATCAGGAAATGACACAAAACACCTAACCCAATCACAGCCTCAAATCACCAGATCAAACAACTTCATACAAGCAATCACAGTAAATCAAGTTTCAAGTAGATGATGTAGTTCAATGACTTGCAATGCAAGAAGCTGTGAAAAATCTAATGCTGAAGATGTAAATAAAGTGTGATCAAACATGTTCATGCCACGTGCTATTAATTTAAAGTTTCAAGTTTAGGAATTTCGGGCTACAAAAAAAGTTGCTGACCTCTGCCCTGCATCACTGTGACATTTCATTCGAGAGCCGTTTTCTGTAAATGGTCTGTTTTTGTGTTTTCTGCAGACGTCCAGCAGCTGCTGGTGATCAAAAAGGAGGAGGAATGGAGTCCCATCCTGGATCAGGAGGACCGGAAACCTCCACAGATTAAAGAGGAACAGGAGGAGAATGAGATTATTGAGTTAATATTCAATCCAGTTCCTGCGAAAAGTGAAGATGATGAAGAGAAACCTCAGCTCCCAGAGCTTCATCACAGCCGAACCAAGGAAACCGAATACCTTGTGGAACCAGATCAATGTTTAGAATCAGATGGTGAAGAAGAAACTTCTGATTCTTCATCAGAGTCCTCAGAAACGGATGTCAGTAATGGAAACTGGGAGGAGAGCAGTGAAGCTCACTCAGGTTTGGGGTCTGGAACCAATAACACAGATTCAGTTTGTAAGAAAGGTAAAAAGTTACATCCCTGCTCTGAGTGTAATAAAACGTTCAGTTGTAGACAATATTTGATAGAACACAACAGAATCCACACTGGAGAAAAACCGTTTAGTTGCTCCATCTGCGACAAAAGCTTTAGTTTAAAAAAAACCCTGAAAAGACACACAATAACACACTCTAGCGAAAGGCCTTTCAGCTGCTCGGTCTGCAGCAGAAGTTTCAAGTATAAGTCACATCTATCTTCCCACATGATTGGTCATACTGGAGAAAAACCTTACAGCTGTTCTGTTTGTAAGGCAGCTTTCCAAAGAAGACAAAGTTTAGTGGAACATACCAGAATCCACACTGGGGAAAAACCTTATAGCTGCTCTGTTTGTAAGGAATCTTTCCCAACAAGACAGCGCTTAGTGAACCACACAATGGCACATACTGGAAAAAAACCTTTCAGCTGCTCCATCTGCGACAGAAGTTTTAGAAGGAAAATATCTTTGACTCACCACATGAAGACGCACAGTGAAGAAAAATCTTTCAGCTGCTCCATCTGTAGCAAAGCTTTTATCTCCCAGGGATGCTTACAAAAACACAAAATCATACATGCAGAGGAACGATCTTACATATGTTCTGTGTGTAATGCAGGTTTCAAAACTAAAAAAAATTTGGTGGAACACACAAGGATCCACTCTGGGGAAAGACCTTTCAGCTGCTCGGTCTGCGGCCGAAGCTTCAAATGCAGGTCCTATTTATCCTCTCACATGGTCGGTCATGCTGGTGTAAGACCTTACAGTTGCACTGTCTGTAAGATGGCTTTCATGAGGAAACGCAATTTAAAGGAACACACAAGAACCCACACTGGAGAGAAACCTTACAGCTGCTCTGTCTGTATGGCGGTTTTCCTGAGGAAACATACTTTAGTGCAACATGAAAGAGTTCATACTGGGGAGAAACCTTACAGCTGCTCTGTTTGTAAGGAAACATTTAAGTGGAAAAACACATTCAACAATCATGTAAGACTGCACACAGATCAGTAACACAGACTGTGGTCAAAACTTCAGGCAGTCTTTGATATTGGATTTGGAGAATGAAGTGTCCGTTCACATTTAAGCTCGTCTGTCTCAACATCTCTTTCAAGGAAATAAACCTCACAGGACTGGAACTTAAGCTAAAGGGAAGCTGCGTAATGTAACTGTGGTAACATCATATGTTGTTTATGGAATTAAATATTACAAGATATATTTAAATCAATTTAAACAAACTTGATTTGTTTAAATCGAATCTTGACCCAATTAGACCCTGTTTAAGAAGGATTCTTTATAAAATCTGGAAAATTACAGACAACCCTGAGCATCCTCTTTATGAGACTCTTATACAACAGATTGTTTTTGGCCCTCCAGCCATCAAGGACTGAACTATAGGAAACAAAGACCTGTGTGGTTTCTTTTTAGCATCCCGCCGACATCAGGAAGACTATGTGTAACTTCCTCCTCTACTTAGCTGGCGAAGGGAGGTCTGCTAACCACAAGCCCTTGATATAATAAATATACAGTGTCTGTGCATCCACTGTATGGATTTTGGCCTTATTTATAATTCTGCTAACGGGATCTTTGAATTATAGAGGGAATATGAATCGTCACGCTGCATCAGCATCCGCTGCACTGCGCAGCAGATTTAATTGCTTCTACTTTTACTTCTATAATTTTGTTTTACTTTTTAGTAGTTTTACTTTTCACCATTATTTCATCTTTAGCTTAGTCGTTTAATTGAGTGTGGCTAGTTTAGTAAGTTTTTAAATTAAAGTATTTACCTGTGACATTCTGTGTAAACTTCTGGTTCTGCAAGAAAAGGGCTGAATAAATGAAAAGCTTACTTCATGATGGGGTCGTTGGTACCATGATTTGAATCCAGGCCAGGTGTTTAGTTCTCCCTGTCTGTGTGGGTTCTCTAGTATTCTAGTTTACTCTAGTTTTCTAGAGTAAACTAGAGTTTACTGGGTACTCTAGTTTTCTTACATAGTCCGAAAACATCCACGTTAGGCTGCATTATGTATGGGAACTGCTAAATAAATTAGATTTGCCTACTTTTTTGTCATCGTTAGTCACTTAGAAATTTGAATATTCCTTTGAAGTTTATTTAAGTACCCTCACAGAATGAAACACATTGCGTAATGACTTAATGTTTTCATGCTTTTCTTTTTTTTCTTTTTCTCTTTTTTTACTTGCAGTACATAAAAATATATTAAGATGAATATATAAAATAAGAGCATTAAAAACAATACTTTTTAATCTAAGAAATGAGCCTCATGGCGACGCATATTCAAATTTATCGAATATAATTCCATGCTGTTACTTTATAGCTTTATAGTGCCGCTCAAGTCGAGCTTTTATTTTGAAGGCCAATGTGACCCGACGAATAGCGGAAGTAGTTGTCTCGTAGCAGCTAAAGCTAAGCGAACAGTTTTGTTTCCTTTTGTCCTTCCAATGTGCCAGTTCAGTCGGGTTTTCAGAGGACCCAGTTTTTTTTTATTGCTTATGACGTTTTTTTTTTTTTTTTTTTTTTTTTTTTTTATTTTTTTTTTTTTTTTTTTTTTCCCCTATTTTTTTTTTTTTTTATAAAAAAAAAAAAAAAAAAGTT